CAAAAGCTTTAAGTTTTAAATGAAACAACAACCATTAATACTAATTTCAAACAAAGAAAGAAAACAATATATTTTTAGTTTTTATTTTTATTTTGAAAGCTTAAATATTTTTCGGAATTTTTCTCTCTTCTATCCTCTGCCCTTTTTTTTTCTCTCTATCTGTATGTGTATTTTTTTCTCGTATCTCTTCTCTGTTTCTGTTCTCCTTGTATTGTCTTGTCTTCAAGACTTCATATATATAACTCATCCCATAAACCTTTCAATTAATTAAAATCAATACTTTTTCTCTACCCAACCCATTATCTTCCCACTCATCCCCATTACATTAAATAAACATATCACACTACCCCATTATATTTTGTCCCCCATGCTTCATTTAAAATAATACAAGATTCCCCTTTAAATTAAATCTTGTCCCCCCTTTATATTAAATAATCATATCACAACCCACCCCATTTCATTTTGTCCCCCATGCTTCAAATAAACAATTACAAAATGTACAATTCCTAAACTACCCCCTCCGACCTTACTGAAATTACCAAACTACCCCTGAACGTACTACAAATTTACCAAACTACCCATCAGCTATAACACATCAATTAATCAAACTTAACCAAAATATAGACAATATGATCAATTTCTAACAATGTTCAAACAACAATATGAACACGGATGAACATCATAACAACAATATCACATGAACACGATTTTAACAACATTTCAACAACAAATCACATGAACACAAATTGAACAACAAAGAACAACTAAAATTTGATTGAACAATATTTTAGCAACAAACAATCCTATTTTCGGATTCAACAACAACAACAAACAAAGTATGAAGATTTCTAAATTCAATCATATTGAACTTAAAATCAACTCTAACAACATTACAACAAACAATTCTTATATTAAACTTTAAATAAGATTATGAGAACAATTCAAGAAATAATCATAAATGGTAAACAAGAAATCAAACTATACAAAATTCGGATTCAAGATCATCCAAACAAAGTATGAACATGAATGAATCTATTTTAAGCAACAAACATGATGGATTCTAACGATTCAAACAACATTATATTTTCTGAAAAATGCATAACACATGAAACAAATTGAAGAAATAATTAATTAAATTTCAATTTGAATCTAACAAACATTAAACCAACAAATATTCACTTAAACAACAATACAAACATGAAATAAACATGAAACATAACTAATTAATCTTTCGTTTGAAATCTGAAAAATTAATTTAACAAACAACACATGAGCATGAACTAAAAAATTAATTCAAACGATAAACAAAACAAACATTTGCTGATTTTAGATTCGAAAATATCAACCCAAAATACGGACTCAAAAACTACTAACCGGATCGAAATGAAATATGTACAGACTGTTTCGACGAACCTCGAATGGGAATGAATCTGTCCGGATTCGACGACGAACTCAACGACGAACTCACCTTCCTTGTAAACTTTGACGAACTCAAAACGACGCTCGACGACCTCGACTAAAACTCAACCGAGCAGCTCGTCTGAAGATACAACAGCTGGAACCTTTGATTTCACAGTCGTAACATCATCACTAATATCGTCAACTATGGTTGACCTTTCTTTGATGTCCACAACTGGTAATTCTTGGTCTTTTCCTGTCTCATTTCCTTTATCCTCCTTACTCTTTCCCCACACCACAGAGTAAAGTCCCATGACTATGATAATTGCTCCAATGCAGCTTCCAAGGTGGACTGACTCAGCCAAGATAATAGCAGCAAGAATAGAAGTGATGACCATACTCAAAGGGCTAAAGGCTGTCACGAACACTGGGCCTTTAACTTTATTAACTACACTTTGCACGTAATATGCAATTCCCGAGCAAACGATTCCAGAATAAGCAGCAGCAAGGAGCCTAGCGTCGAAGCCAATTTTCCATGCATTCCAATCACGTTCCATTATAAGAGCAACAATTCCTCCTTCCACTATGCCCATCACACATAACCATGCTGCCAGAGATAGCTCTGCTGGGTATTCCTTCAATGCCATCGATTGAACAATAAAGAAAACGGACCAACCAATAATGCAAGAGATGAGCTCAATGGTTCCGGCGACCCAGTTCTCGGGGGTGGTGTTTGGACTGGTGGTTTTCGGACAAGATGGCGCAGCAGCCATGGCTGTCTTGGTGGAGCTGAAGACATGGTTGACTGACGTGAAGATGGAGAGGGAGCTGAGGCGACGGGATAGTGACGACGCAGCAGCAGCTGCGACGAGCAGCTGGGGACGGGGGTGATGGT